GAGGATAATATATTATTCCTGTCGCAGTATGCCATAAAGAGTAGATCAGGCTTGAAGCCACTATGCACTCACTCCTCCACATCCATCTCACCATCGTGTTCATCAATCAACCGCTCAAGCTCCTGCTCCATTTCGTCTGGGGCTTGGCCAACCTCCGGGATGACATCCTCCTCGTCTGCATCGGCATCACGAGCAAGAGTGGGAAAGACAGGATTAGAGGGCGCTCCGACGACGGCTGCATCTGTGACCTTGGCACGCTTTGACGACGGCATGACCGAGTCGGACGAGGATGCGGTGGACTTCTTGGGAGACGGCGAGTCAATGTTGATAGTATGCACAACTGTCCCACCTTTGAGGGAACGAAATGCTGTATCAACCTTTTCCTTCTTGATCTTGACGCGAAGCTCTGGCTCAGGAAGCAGAGCGGGGTACGATGCAACTGCAGTCCTGGCACAGCACAAGCACGAACCATGAATCCAAAATTCACTTGGAATGCTGTAGCTTACGAGACGGTTTGCAAGAGAAACTAAACCATATTTCCCTAAGATTTACAATGAGTTTTATTTCACAACTGGTCCTTGCATTGCTGCTCCCGAACAAACTTGTAGGTCGTAGCACTGTGTGGCCTCTGGGTACGGGTTCACCATTGAGCAAGCGACGAATGAGCGTTTGAGACCAAGCAAGATCTTCCAGATACGATGCTGGGTAATTGTGCACGTGGGGTTGCATCTTGTACTGCTTGAAGATGGGCTTTTGGGAAGCTGTCATGAGATCCATGGGCTCGTTGTCATCCCACTGAATGAAGCTGATGGGGTCCTTGGAGGTGCTAGCCACGCGGTAGTAAATGCCACAATCCGTGATGAGTATTATGTGGGTTCTAGCAAGAATGGCGTCCATGTCTTCGTCTTCGTCAATGGCAGCGAAGGAAGGCTTGATCATGTCAATGAACTTGTTGTGGGGGGCTTGCCATACCTTTGACTTTTTCATGTCCATGTAGAGCTTCTCATCCAAGTCTCTGGCGTATGGGTTGTTGCATGCGTGGCGGCCTGCGCCCTGGTCGAACTGTGCGGAGGTGTACCTGGCCCAGACGGTGGCGTCCTCTTCCTCAAAGGGACGGTTTGATGATGAACGAAAGCGACACTGGGAAACAAACTTACAAGCCCCCAAAGTAAATAATCAGGAGATGTAGTGTTGAATATAACTAAACCAAAGCTTGATGTACGGTATGCAAGCGACGGAAGGATTCAGGAAAGCTTTCAAGAAGGAGGAGTCCATTTTCTGCAACATCCCATCATCAAAGACACCCGGTTTGAACCTGGTAAGCGGTTCCGCCTTAAAGAAATCCAGGTTCTTCGCCGTCACTATGGAAGGGACCAAGTCCGACCGATCGGCGTCGTCGATCTCAAACTTGGACTGCATAAACAGAACAGTTTTCGATCCAAACGATTTCCCGGTACGGGTTCGTCCCAACCACGTGATGGAATGCTGCCTCATGGTTGGGATCATCTTGGTCAAGACCGAGTCGAGAAACCACGGCGTAAACGATTTCAACGTGAATGGCCAGAATTCCAAGGTTTTGGCATTCTGCCGCCCCCGCATGTAGTTATGCAGAGCTTCTTTCACCTTGCCTTCGGGCCAATTCTCGATTTTGCCGCCTGGCGTGTGGATCTGCTCGTCAGTCCACTCCATAAATTGGTTGCGGTTGTTCGCCTTGGGCCCGAAATCCCTAATGAATTGATAGCCCTCTTCCCTCTGTTGCTGGTCTATGGTGAGCTTCTTCTCGAAGCGGGGTTTGATGATCCAGTGGCGGAGTTGCCGGCCTCCCATCCGGTCCATCATGTAGTTGAGCGCGGCAAG